AGTGCTGTGACCGATGGAGGCCAGCATGCTAAATGCCTTTTTCACCACCCTGTCTACTTGTGATGCCGCTTTCAACAAACTATGTACTTGTACTCCTAGCTCCCTCTGTTCCACAACATTCCTCAGGACCTTACTATTTACTGTATAAGTCCTACCTTGGTTTGACTTTCTAAAGTGCAACACCTCACACTTGTCTGTACTGAATTGCATTTGCCAAACCGCAACCCACTTCCCCATCTGATCAAGATCCCTCTGTAATTTTTGATAACCTTCCTCACTATCAACGATACCTCCTAATTTTGTATCATCCACAATCTTACCAATTATGCCTTATACATTCACATCCAGATCATTTATGAAAATAACAAATAACAAAGGTGCTAGCACTGACCCCTCTGACACACCACTAGTCACAGGCCTTCAGTTCGAGAAACAACCTTCAACCATCACCCTCTGCTTCCTACCATCGAGCCAATTTTGAATCCAATTAGCTACCTCTCCCTGGATCCCATGTGACCTAACCGTCATGACTAGCCTGCTGTGCCGGACCTTGTCAAAGGCCTTACTAAAGTCCATATTGACAACATCCACTGCCCTACCCTCATCTATCCTCTTGGTTACCTCTTCAGAAAACTAAAAGGATTTGTCAGATATGGCTTCCCGCACACAAATCCATGCTGACTATCCCTAATCAGATCTTGACTATCCAAATGTTGACTGACCCTGTCCCTCAGTATCCTCTCCAATAACTTGCCTACCACTGATGTCAGGCTCACTGGTCTGTAGTTCCCCGGCTTGTCTTTGCTACCCTCTTAAACAATGGAACAACATTAGCCACCCTCCAGTCTTCCAGAACTTCACCAGTGGCTAAAAATGAAGCAAAAATCTCTGCAAGTGCCTCTGCAATTTCTTCCCTAGCCTCCCACAATGTCTGAGGATAGACTTGATCAGCCTTGGGGGATTTATCCACCTTAATGTGCTTTAAGACTGCAAACACCTCCTTTCTGGTAATGTGTATGTTGTCTGAAACATCCCCAACTGTTTACTTTACTTCCTTAGCATCCATGATTCTCTCCTCAGTTAACACAGAGGAGAAATAGTCATTAAAAATCTCTCCTATTTCCTGTGGCTCCACACATAGACATCCACGTTGATCTTTAAGGGGACCTATTCTGTCCCTAGCCACTGTTTTACTCTTAATATAGCTACAGAACATCTTGGGATTATCTTTAACCTTATCTGCTAGATCCATCTCATACCCTCTTTTTGCTCTTCTGATTTCCTTTTAAGCGTGCTCCTGCACTTTTTATAGTCATCCAGGGATTCACTTGAACCCGACAGCTTAAACCCAATGTCTGCCTTCTTCTTTTTTCTGACTAGAGCCTCAATATCTCTCATCGGCTAGGGATTCCTAAACCTGCCAGCTTTTCCTTTCACCCTAAACTGTCCCTGGACTCTTGATATCACACTGTTAAAGGACTCCCATTAAAATCATTCCTTTTCCTCAAACAGACTCACCCAATCGACTTCTGCTAGATCCTGCCTAATGGGCCCAAAAACTGGCCCTGCTCCAGTTCAGCACCTTAACCTGTGGACCTGTCCTATCTTTATCCATAACTAAGAGAGTTATGGTCCCTGGACACAAAGTGCTCTTCGACTGACACTTCAGTCACTTGCCCGACCTCGGTTCCTAACAGGAGGTCCAGTGCTGCACTCTCCCGAGTAGTGCCCTCTACATATCAATTTAGGAAACTTTCTTGGACACATTTGACAAATTCTCCCCCTCTGGGCCTTTTACACTCTGGGTGGCCCAGTCAATACAGGGGAAATTAAAATCTCCAACCAATACTACTCTATTATTCCTACAGGTGTCTGCAATCTCTCTACACATCTGCTCTTCTAGTACCCGCTGGCTATTTGGGAGTGTATAATACAGAGTGACCATCCCCTTCTTGTTTCTAAGTTGTAATCATATGGTCTCATTTGATGACCCCCCTTAAGATTATCCTCTCTAAGCATGGTTGTTATGTCCTCCCTTATCAAAAGGGCAACTCCCCCTCCTCACTTACTTGTACTTCTGTCATGCCTGTAGCTCTGTATCCTGGAACGTTAGGCTGAGAGAAGGGCTGGACAGCTCAGTTTCTGTCATGGCTATAATATCCCAGTCCCCAGAACCAATCCATGCTCTGAGCACATTTGCGTTGAAATAAATGCACTTTACACCAGAAGTCTTTTCCCTCCCTTTATTGTACTCCTGATTATCCTGAATAGTAAAAGTGCTCTCGATGGCTAATATATTTTACCCTGACTTCTCGATGGCCCCTCTCTTATTCAGAGTCCCACCCTCCTGCCAAACTAGCTTAACCCTTCCCAGGTAACAGTAGCAAATCTCCCCACAAGGATATTGGACCCAGTCTGGTTCAAGTGCAACCTGTCCCTTTTGTACAGGTCACCTCTATCCCAGCAGAGATCTCAAAGATCCAAGAACTGAAAACCCTGCCCCCTACACCAGCTCCTCAGCCACACTTTCACCTGACCTATATTTCTATTTCTATCCTCACTAGAAATAGTTTGAAGGGTGATTAAAACAATCCCATTAGCTGAGGTAATTCAGTCCAAAACCCCAGTCACATAACTGAGCCTGCCAGGCTTTCAATCAGTTTAAACTTCTTTCAAAGGTATGCTTGTAACACCAGAAGAGGACACATCAAATGCACCTCCAGACTTAGCCAACACAGTGTCTCTGATCTTAAACTCTCTCAAAAATAGATTTCTAGAAAGAACATGTATTTCATCTGCAAACTACACTGATTCCTGGTTTACACTGTCACTTGCAATTAAATTACATCTCAGCCCCTGCAAAAGGAATGTTTGTGCACAGTCAACTGACAGCATTGCCACTGTTTACTGAACTACTGGAATCTCTATTTCATGTCAACTAATGCCTATTTCTTTAAGTTTAAATAATTTATAACTTCTTTGTCTTTCTTCCTTCCTTGGTTGTATGTATCTGAATGTGTGTTGCGAACATTTCCCTGAGTTTTAATTGCAATAATAAACCTTAAAAATTGTTTTAGCCCTGGAGAATGTGCTCTGGGTCACTTTTATTTTGAAAAGTTAAGACATCACAGACAGGTTTTGGGGAAAAACACATTCCATTTTTAAAAAAGGGGAAAAAAATTTAAAATCACCTGTAATGAATAAAAGAGGAGAGCAGTAAAAATGAACATTAAAGCCACTTCCCCTCTAATCCATGGCACACTATTCTCAATTACCCATTGAAAGCCCTCTGAATGTCTGCCTTGAGTTTTCCTCTATGTATTGAAGATAACTTTTAAGATTATGGAAAATCAATTCATTTAGAAATTAGATGGTGGGCACACAGCTTGCACTGGGAGACTACAAAGAAGTTATTAAGCTATCACAACACATCAAATATGTGTCCGTTACTAATCAGTCTCCGTAGTATCAGTCAAGAAAAGGCAAGAGTAGAAAAGGCAAGAGTAAGTATCCTCTTCAAGGACAGTGGGCCAATTGGACTAACATCTACAGATACAAAAACAGAGGTTGCTGGAAACGCCCAGCAGGTCTGGCAGCATCTGTGAAGAAAAGAAATCAGATTTAATGTTTTGGGACCTGAAACGTTAACTCCGATTTTTTTCTTCACAGATGCTGCAAGACCTGCTGAGCTTTTCCAGCAGCTTCTGTTTTTGTCCCTGATTCACAGCATCCGCAGTTCTTTTGGTTCTTATTTAACATCTACACATGTCAGTCTTCACTTCTAATCAAACATTAGCTCTTTATTTTATTTTCTAAATCTCTGATTTTATGCTATTCTTGATATAATTAATAATATTTTTAGGAGGGGGTTAGGGTTGGCTGGAGCATGGGTTGCTCTGGAGTTTGTCCAAGATTGATTCAGAGGCAGGAAGCAAAGAGTAACAGGCAAAGGGTGTTTTCATGACCATCAGGTTGTTTCAGTGGAGTTCAGCAGTACTAAGCATGGAGACCCTTCTTGTTCATCATATCTATCAATGAGCTAGACTTGAATGTAGGAGACATGATTGAGAAGTTTGCACATTATAAACCAGGTGGCTACTTGATTGATAAAGAAGAAGAAAGCAGTAGACTGCAGGAAGATATCAATGGGGTAGCAAGATGGACAAACAGTGCAAATAGAGATCGCTCTCAATAAGTGAGGAATAATACATTTGGGGCTAACAAGATAAGGAAACACACTATAAAACGGGAAGACACTGAGAAGTGTGGAGAAACAGAAGGAACTTGGAACACACATTCACATAACTCTGAAGATTGGTGCAAGTAGATAAAGGGTTAATAAGGTGTCAACAAGAAACTTGTATTTATTAATTAGTCAGGCATAAAATACAAAAGCTGAGAAGTTACACTCGAATTGTATAAAATTCTAGTTACTTCACAGCTGGAATTCTGTGTGCAATCCTGGTTCCTGTGCAATAGGAAAAATATTATCGCACCAGAGATGGTCCAGAAGAGATTTATGAGGATGTAGTCTATACTGGAGAATTTTAGTTCTGTGGAAAAATTAAATAGTCTGGAGTTATTTTCTTTGGAACAGAGGAGACTGAAGGGGAAATTATGTGGGATGTAGATACATTGGATAGAAAGACACCAAGAGGTCCTAGTTTTCTATAAGACATGTCATTGATGTCTGATATCTGCATACCCCCACACCCCAAAAAAGATTCCAGTTGCAGTCAGAATTCTTGGTTCATCATGCTATAGAATATAACTAAAGTAGGAACAGGCAGAAAATATTTAAATATTTATATCTTACAAAATACAATAATTCAAATATATATTGAAAGAAAAGCCTCTGAGCAATGCCAAAAAGGATCAACCTACTCAACGATCAATAAGAAAAGATGTGCATTGTTGCTTGTGGTATAAATCTGGTATGAGGCTATCAGTAACTACTAGATAGTCACGCAATCACCCTGTCACACGCATTCCACATTTACCTTTAGCACAAACGTGTTGTCCTTATCGGGCATTTCTAGTGGCATTGTGGTCCTGACCTTGACGATTGCAGAGAGTGGGATGCTGACTCTGGGCTTCGTAGACTGTTAAAGAAAGTATCAGGTTATTATGTGTCACTGATCACATCAAAACATCGAGCAGAGTTCAGACACTGGCCAAGTAATCCTTCTCAAACTGGTCCTTGAAATATTATTGGAAAGCACAAACCAGACTGCCTTAATGGAGGTATCCACCATTCATAAAGAGTCATAGAATCAAACAGCATGGAAACAGACCCTTCAGCCCAACTCCTCCACACCGACCAGGTTTCCTAAATTGAACTAGTCCCATTTGCATGTATTTGATCCATATCCCTGTAAACCTTTCCCATTCATGTACCTGTTGAAATGTTGTAACTGTACTCGGCTCTACGATTCCTCTAGCAGCTTATTCCATACACACACCATATCCCTGTTTCAGAATTTTAAATCAATTCAGTTTTATTTTATCCTACTTTGTCCCTGTCTCTGTTGCCCAGCCAGAATTGAGACTGACAGACTTTTAACCAAACAGGGGAACCTCAGGTCATAGCAGGCGGACCAGGAGTTGTGGATACAATCAGATCAACCTCTGAATAGCTGTGCAGGCTCAAGACAACAAATGGCCTCATTCTTTTTCAATTTCTTACATCCTTATGGTCACAAACGTCAGCCCTGGAATCTTCACCATTTCTGCCAACATCACTGTGTCACATCAGAGAGGAGTGTTGACTGACTCTCTCCATCTATCGATGGTCAGACAGCAGTCTTGCCGAAAGGCTACCTGTAGCAGGCAGCTTATCCATTATTGATGGAAAAGCAAATTGAGCGAGATGGAACGGGTTTCGATTCACCGTTACTGGTTTTGTGCATGAAGAATTTGCAAACGCTCTGTAGGAGACTGAACACGACCCAGTGCACATATTGCCACCAAAAGGCTTTACTCTTGGAAAACCTTCAACTTTCGTTTTGACATCATCAAATACTGTACTGTCCTCTCAAAACTTATTTATAATCAATTTAGAGTGAGCATAAAAATAAACATTGTAACTGTATGCATGTGTTTTATTTGAAATTATGTTTGTTTGATTTTTCAGTGTGGCTCAGTTCCATGATGGTGCAATAGAGATGCAACGTTTGTACACCAAGGATTGCAAAATCTGTGATCATGTTCTGGAACTAGGAGCTGGGGCGCCATGCAAATTGTTACTGTAAAACATCCAGTCTCACCATGTGTTCTTGTAGTGGATGGATTGCTGCCAAACTGATGGGATTTTTCTGCACAGATTTATTAATCTAATCAGATAATAACAACAACATGGTAGTAAAGGGAATGTGACAGCATTGGAAGAGAAGCTGGTTAATGAATAGTACATGGAGGGTGGTGATTAATGAATGGTTTTCAGGTTGGACCTGTGGAAGCGGTGATGTTGCAGGATCAATTCTAGAATCACTTCTTAATATGTTTAAAAATAACCTGCATTTGGAGATGGAGATATATTAAACTGGCAATCTATAGAAAAAAAAGGGGAAAGAAATATAATCCACTGCAAATGCTCAGCAGGTCTGGCAGCTTCTGTGAAGCAGGAAACAGAGTTAACATTCAAGGTCAAAGATCTTTCATCAGAACTAGTTCAATCCTTTCTGATGAAAGAGCGTTAACCTGAAACATAAACTCTGCTTCTCTCTTCACAGAGGCTACCAGAGTGGCTTAGCTTTCTCCAATATTTTCTATTTTCCTTTAAAATTTCCAGCCCCCACTGTACTTGGTTTTTCTTTTAGGTGACTAAAATAGGGAGCTGTATAGGTGATGACGACATCAAGGAAGTCATAGAGTTATAGTGTGTGCAATACAAACGCTTTGGTCCAACCAATCCATGCCAACCATGTTCATGAGCTAAACTAGTCCCACCTGATTGTGTTTGGTCTCTATCCCTCCAAACATTTCCTATTCATGAACTTATCCAAGTGTCTTTTAAATGTTGTAACTGTATCTACATCCACCACTTTCTCTCACAGTTCATTCCACACACGAACCACCCTCCATGTAAAAAGGTTGCTCCGCCTGTCCTTTTATAAATCTTTCTCCTCTCACCCTAAAAATATGAACTCCCCCACCCTAGGTCAGTGTTGAGGGTCGGTGTGGACTCAATGGGCTGAATGGCATGCTTTCACAGTAGAGGGATTCTATATTACCAATATGTTATAGGGAAGGGCCAGGCTGATGAGGGCAGACACCAGAAAGGAGATCAACATATGAAGACACAGAGGCCACAGCTGATGCATTAAATGAATACTTTGCATCTGTCTTCATTAAAGCAAAGGATGCTGCCAATGTATCACTAAAAGAATTGTAGAGAAATCAATATGATTTAAAAAGAAAACAGGCAAAAGAAGAGCTACTTAAATGCTTGGCAGCAATCAAAGTAAAATCATTCTTAAATCCAGCTGTGATACATTTTAGGTAACTGAAGGAAGTTCTGCCTCCACAATTGATATGGGGTAGTGTCAGATCACTGGAGCGTTGCAAATATTTAAAACATGCAGAAGGGTATACCTAGCAATTAAAAGTCACTTCACTGATTTGTCAATATTGGGGAAACTTTCAGAGTCAATGATCCAAGAGAAAATCAATTGCTGTTCAGTTTACTACATGACAGCTTGCACAGATTTATCAAAGACGAACCATGTTTAGCCAATTTCAGATATAACAAGGTGTAGAGCTGGATGAACACAGCAGGCCAAGCAGCATCAGAGGAGCAGGAAGGCTGACGTTTCGGGCCTAGACCCTGCTCGGCCTGCTGTGTTCATCCAGCTCTACACCTTGTTATCTCAGATTCTCCAGCATCTGCAGTTCCTATCTGTTTAGCCAATTTCATTTTGGTAAACTAATGGAGAGTGTTGATCAGGCTTGTGTAGTTGATGTTATGGAATCAGAGTCATACAGCACAGAAACAGACCCTTCGGTCCAACCAGTCCATGCTGAACATAATCCCAAACTAATCTATTCCCACCTGCCTGCGCTTGGTCCACATTCTTCCAAACATTCTTTATTCATGAACTCATCCACATGTCTTTTAAACATTATAACTGTACCCACATCCACCACTTCCTACAGAAGTTCATTTTACAGAGTGGTTGGTGGGTGTCTTTTTTGAAAATCTTTCTTCTCTCACCTTAAAAATATGCTTCCTCGTCTTGAAATCCCTCATCCTCGGGAAAAGACACTTGCCGTTCACCTTATCTATATCCCTTGCTATATTATAAAATCTCTGTAAAATCACCCCTTAACACCTCCCCACTCCCATGCTTTCAAAAATCAGAGAAACCTGAATATGTTCAGCAACTTGGCCCCCTCCACAGCCTTCAGTGGTGGGGAATTTCATAAATTCACTAGCCCCCAAGTGAGGACATTTTTCCGATTCTCAGTCCTAAATGGCCTACCCTATATCCCAAGTCTGTCTACCACAGTTCCAGACTCCACAACTAGGGAAAACTTCCTTCCTGCACCTAGTCTGTTTGGTTCCACTACAATTTTACACATTTCCGGCAGATCCTCTTTCATTCTTCTAAACTCTAGTGAATACAGGCCCAGTCAAACCAATCTCTCCTCATAGACAATCCTGCTAATCTAGTGAATCTCTGCTGCATTCCCTCCACGGCAAGTATATCCCGTCTTTATCATAGAATCCCTACAGTGTGGAAGCAGGCCATTTGGCCCCTCGTGCCCACACCGACCCTCCGAACAGCATCCCACCCATACGCACACACATCTCCCACCCTTATCCCTGTAACCCTGCATTTCCCATGGCTAATCCACCTAGCCTGCACATCCCTTGACACTATGGGCAATTTAGCATGGCCAATCCATCTAACCTTCGGATTAAACATCATTGGACTATAGGAGGAAATGGGAGCACCCAGAGGGAACCCTCACAGAGAGGGATTTGCAAACTGTCCAAGGGTGGAATCGAACCCAGGACCCTGGCACTGTGAGGCAGCAGTACTAACCACTGTGCCATCATGTCTCCTATTTAAAAGCCAACTTCTGCTATCTGTTTAGATTAAATGTCCACAGAACCATTTTACTGAGGAACAGCCTTCAATTAGCTTCCAGGCCTTGCCACACAAACAAAACAAAAAGCTTGTTTGGTCTGTTTTTCTTTTAACACAAGCTGTAACCCACAGTCCAAAAGTCATCTTTAGCTCCCAACAAAAATTGATAAAAGGATAAAATAAAAATAATTAAAAATAAGTGTGGGTTCTAACAATAAATTAAATGGTACAATTTCGAATGAGATTCAGAAACAATATATATGCAAAACAATATGAGACGGTAGTTAAAAAGAAAGGATCTTTTGTACCACAAAAAAATGTCATTGGTATGATGCAGGACAAGGCTCCAAGTCTCTGCACAGCCCCACAGCTACTGAAGCTAAAAGCTCCCTTGCCAGTTGTGGCAATTGTCATTTTCCAGACAGTAAATAAAATATGTGCAAGTGAAGAGTCATGGGATCTTTAAAAAAGGCAACTTCTGTGTAAATAAAATGAAATGCCACTATTAATCTGTTATTGAGCTGGCAAATAAAATGGTGGTAGCTATCAACAGCACTTGATGGGAATGTATAAGATTGTTACAGAGGATTCATTCTCTGTAGGTTTTTAAATCGTGCCAAAAAGGTGAACAAAGGAGGCACTGTTTATTCAGCAGTATTTTCACGACGGCCCAATCTTAGCATTCATGCAGCATTGAGAAATTTGTGAATTCTGCAGTCAACACAGCTTCTGCGAACAGTTCTGAAGAATACCAATACTGTGCATCGCTATACGTAATAATGTAGCAGCCCTTTGTGAGCCAAAATAGTTGGAGCCACCCTGGAGAAGCTGGAGCATAGAATGCCTCCTATCATTGATAGAGTCAAAGCAAGCATTATCACAGCTAGAATGGTCTAAAAAAAATACACACAGGTCTTTTCTTTACTAAAGGAGCTTCAATCCACACCTGACAGGCTTCCTGACACTGTTTCTGTGTCAACTTGCCAATTTGTTGAGGTTTTTTTTTGATG